CATTTTAAGTTATACTATTTTTTATTAAACTTTCAAAATTTAAAAATTATATTAATTTTAACTAATTTAAAATCAAATAACAATAAATTATATAAAAAAAATTTAATATCTATTACTTAATTTATTAACTTTAAATTTAAGATTTTATATAAATAATATTTTCACCTAAATTTATGATTTTATGTTATTTATATTTTATTTAAATAAAAAAATTAAATTATCAAATAAATCAAAAATCCAGGTCAAATGTTAAATCCCTTGCCATGTGAGCATGACATGGCAATATTTTGCCATCGAAGCAGCCAAGCGGGGTGTGTCCTTAACAGCAGTTAAGTCAGGCGAGCAATCCCAAACGGCAGTTAAGTTGACTTAAGAAGAAGGGCTTAATTGCTTTGACCCCAGAGTTCAAGGGCTTATATGGCTCAATTAAAGTCTAGGGGCTTAATAGCGATTATGGGTTCGTTCAGGAGCTTAACTTATGGTTTTGCCTACAAACTAAGTGGTTGGTAGACCAAAATGGAAGAAAAAATAGTTACTAGAATAAAATGATAAAATATCTATAGTTAATAGACAATTTTAACAAATTTAGCCATATGTTTTCCTAAGCTACTTTGGTTGCGTTTTGGTACGAGGCAGGTTTCCGAACTTTTTCCAAAGCAATTTTTATAATTTTAGAAGAGTTGGTATAGTGATCTCAAATTAGTAGATGATGGTTTTGTCTAATTCAATAATTTCCTTTTGATAAAAATTGTTGCGCATTGAGAGGCTCTTGTATTGGTTACTGTCGTTGGGATGTTGACGAGTTAGAAAAAGTAATCTTACTTCCGCGTCCATTAACTCTGTGTACCTGTATTGGAAGTTAGGGGAGAGTACAGGAAGGTGCTATAACGGCTCCCTGCCCATTATAACACCAATTATAAGTAGTTACCATCTAGGAAGTGATGAAAGTCATTCACCTACGTTGCCAAGGCTGTACTCGTGTTATCTATAAGAACTTTTGAGGCATGACCTCTCTCCTCTCTACCAAACCCGGACTTCCTCTTCCGTTTCTCACCCATTCTCGTGCTTGGTGATGGCATTAATCTTCTCTTAATTCTCGTCCATTACCTTCCTACCCTTTCTTCGTGAAACATCCTATTTGAGCCAGAGGGACATCCAAAGAATCAGAACCTTCATGGGATTGTACTGCACTCTCAGCAGAGACCTCCTTGGGAAGTTCCTCAGAAGTGTCCTCATCATCCACCTTAAGATTGTCTTGAACTATAGCCAAATCCAAATGCTTTGATGATTTCTCTATGATATTAATCCATTTCTCCAATTGAATAGAGTCAGCATTTGAAACGGAATTTTCTACCTCTCACAATCCGTTATTACTCACTCTCTTTTCACCAATGTTCTCTTGATTGAGAAAGTCCTAACCAACAGACAGATCAAATTCATGAAGCGCAATTGGCCACCAGATATCAACCAATTTAGATCTAAGCCATTCACCATATTGTTTTAGCAGTTTCTTTCTAACTTCCTTCATATATACAGTCACGTACATAGCCAAAAATCAAATAGTCTCTCATTCTTGATTCATAATCACATCGGGTCTCCTTGGTTGACCCATAAGGAGTGATTATGTTCATCATCTACTCCAAGAATTGTCCCAAGCTGTTCACCTATCAATCACCAAACATTTTTTAAGTGGACTCCCACAGATAAATCATGAAATTGAACCCAGAAAGGATTTATAGAAAAATTTTACTGCTCTGGAGATAATTCTTTTTCAAATTGTTTCAAGATTATCAAAGAACTGTTGTTACTCCATGAAGCTTTTTGTAATACTTTGTTAAGATCAAACTTGTTAGAAAATTGAAACATGTAGATCTTGTCTTTCATTTCACTAATTTTAACCCCACCTCTTGTTCTCCAAGAGAACGATACGACACTTTAAAAGCACGTTGTTTGGGAGGGAAGCATTGGATTTAGCCATTGTGGCAAAAGGTTTAAAACATTTTGCCACGTATTTATTGTGCTTGTGGCAAGAAACATTATTTTTATCTATGGAACAATTAAATTCCACGGTAAACTTTTAACCAAGCCATTTCTAGTTGTGACAGACTACGGAAAACATTTTAATAATCAAATCATTTAGTTACAAGATTTTCACAATTTAGCTATAGGATTTCTTGAAACTATAGATGTAAAATGTAATAGTGCATCTTGAGAACATTAAGTGAATAAGTTACCAATGTGTCAATAGTTGTTCTCATCATGGATGAGAATGTAATTGATCTTCTAACTTGAAGTCATCATATTGTCTTACTTGAGAAATGATGCATCGTTGATACTGTTAAAATGAGTCCCTGCCATAAGATCAAGAGTAACATAATAATTGAGGGCACTACAAGTTGTGTGAATGAGAGTCGAATGATTAATTTAGCATTCGAAAAGGAAATTACTTAAATGCATGTTGAATCATGGAAATAAAATCAAAGAATTAGGTTACTCAAAATTATAAGAGGGAATAGGTCAAACAGATAGTTTTTCAAAAAAAAAAAAAAAGTGGTTGAGATTACAGTTATAAAGCTTTTTGTATGAGTTATTATCTTATTGATGTTTTATCAAAAAGTCAAAGATATTAGTATATATATATATATATTTTTTTTTTTTTTTTGAATTGGATGTTTAGGATGCTTTTGGATCAATTTTTATACATATTAAGATTAATTTTTTTTAGATGATTTTAATAGCACATCCTTATATCAAAAAATTAATTTCTTTAAACGTCAGAAAAAAATTTTACTCCTAAATATTGCTAATGACATTTAAAAAATGTACTTAACAGTGAATTCAATTCTTCAATTTAAAAGATACCACTACCTTACAATGCAATTCATTGGTGTAGATAATGAACATTTGAAGAAAGAAGTGAGGGATTTTTATGATTAATTTTTAGGTCAAGGGACAAAAAAAAAAACATTTATTCCAAGTTAGGAAATTTTTTCTGCTGCAGGGATTACGAATGTAATGAAACCAAAAGTTTGTTTTAGGAACCGATAATTTTAACTCTAACGACGGCAAGAGTGGTGGCGTTGTTGGCTAGCGCGTAGGTATCATGGCTTTATGAATGATCCTGGGATCGAGAGTTCGAGCTCCTCCAGCCCATTGAATGTTATTTTTTTTTTCCTTGATCCTAAATGCGAAATGGAAATTTTTGCTGCTCCTATAGTTGACTCTCTTTTTTTTGTCAGAACATAATGCTCAATTTAGTCTAATCATGACCAATGACCATAAATTATTAAATGTTAACCTAACAAACAACTGCCGAAAAAAAAAAAAAAAACCTCAGCCACAGTCCTAACTAGTAGGCCCTTAAAACTGTATTAAGCGCAAAAATATACAGGGATAAAGCACATGATAGCAGGTTAACATTACAAGACATTCCACATAGTAACCAACACAATTAACAAGACTAAGATCACAGCTACCCTAAACATAACGCTGAATGACTGATTTGTACGATGTGCTGCAATTGCCTTTGAGAACTGGGATGTTATATCTTTCTCTTTGTGCATGGAATTATTGCTGCTCGATGTTAAGATACTCCTTTCAGTTAACTCAGAGAGGGATGTTACCTGAGGTTTATCTGTGGCAGTACTAGCAGCAGCAGCATCACCACCACCAGCAACAGCATCATCCTCTTCTACAGCTCTTATCTCCTGGAAATTGCAAAGTAATAAGATGGCAATCCACATAATGGAAATTTTCATGTTTTCTGCACTAGCTTCAGTATGAACTTCTCACCTTTGTTATGTTTGGTTTTGATACATGATTTTCATCTTCACAGCTACAATCACTTGATGCCTTTCCACTATAAGCTGGCCGTATCGCAAGTTTACACTGCAGACGTATTCTTTTTGATGCCAGACCATGAGTCACAATGTTCTTAGTCTGTGGTTGATTTTGAGGATGTCGAGCCCTAATTGTGATACCAGCTGTCACATTGTCAATGCCACTGCTGGTATTTACAGAATTGCTGGTTTTCTGAGTACTGTTCAAGACATTATGTGATTGGTCTGTGACAGATGAGTAAACAGCCATAAATGAGCAAGGTTGTGCTGGTGCTTTCATCTCTACTTGAGCCTCTTTGTCAACAGACAACTCTGGATCAAGCTGTCACATCAAAAAAAAATGTTAGGTTGACACTCCAAACAGAAATATGCACCCTTAATCCAGAGACAGAAAACATGCAAATTTTTTAAGTAAAATAGATTTCTTACAATTATCTTATGCACAATTATGACAAACATTTTGACACATTGCATATGAACCACTTGAGACACTTAGAAAACAAGAGAACAATATGTAACAAACAGAACAACTTAGTGGCTTTCACTCACCAATCCTTGGGCTACATCTACAAAAGCTGCATCATTGACGGTCTCATTTTCAATGGTTGGATTTTTCTGACCACCACATGCATCACCAGAAGGCTCAGCTGAATTTCTGAGTACAGAATCCAAGAAATCGGATGCATAGGCATCTGATTCATTTGTGCCAAATGGAAACTCCAGAGCACCATCATTGTTGTCACCTGGATATAACATGCAAGAAGATCCCAGCTCCACTTGTAGCTGTGAGTGCAATGGGGAAAGAATTCTATAATCAAGCGGCTCCAGTGATAAATTTTCATAAAACACAACCTCATCATCTGCGTGCAGAAGATCCACCTGATAACAAATAACATTAAGTACAATGCAAAAGATGGATTATATCTATATCAAAATCTCTTTTTTTTTTTTTTTTTCTCACCTCTGTAGGCATAACTTCTCCCGCCAGACATTCTGCATCATTAGCGTAACAGCTGTTGCACTGAATGGGTGGTGCAGTCTCAGAAATAGGTTTCTTTGATGAATCATCCAAACAAGCATTAACCCCTGCTTGATTCTTTTCAACCTGCTCTTCCAATATCAGAGATTCCTGAGTTGTTTCCAACATGGACTGCATATCTTCATAATTGGCCGTGGTAGGAGATAAATCAGGTTCAACTTCATCACTGTTTACACCTTCAATGATCTCACCTTTCTTAAATAAACGGCAAATTACAAATGCACTCTGCAGCATGAAGTCATTCAATAAAACAACCAGAATTAGCATCACACTAATTCTCATATGCTAAACAAATTTAATTATGAATTGTTAAGATTGGCTTGCATGCATAATGATTCTTGAGTTCCATTAGCATTTCTATGCACATAAAATCTTTAAACAAATATGCAAGAACATAATCATCAAAGAAATTCAACCAAACACAATTTTCCAAAAGGTTGCCAAATTAGGATCACCACAGTTAATACTGAATTCACGAGCTTTCTGTTCTAAAATGTAACAACAATTATAACAACCGTAAAACATGTTTTGGACTAATTACATCATAGAAGATCCACCCCTTAATACCGTAAATTTATCTTTGCAATCAACACATGCTTCATGAAAGGACACTCATGATGACAGAAAATGAGCATTAAAGAATTTATTGATTTTTCAGATTAAGCTACCTATCTCTTGTAAGTAGCAAAGCATAGTCAATTTCCTAGGAAATTCGAACAGCGACTCAATTTTCCAGTGCCAATAAGAATCAAGTTTTTTCCACAGAAATTATCATTTACAACATAGCAATCGACTTCAATCAGTATACAAAACAAGCAAAGATTGATCAATCGAAACACACGAGTAAATTCAATTTTAAAGAAAATCAGCTAAAGAGAAACAGAGAATCAAAGAAAAGGAAGGAGAAGAAAAAAGAAAGTAAACCTGTCCGGGCTTGGTGCCATCGAGCTCTTCAAGAGTAGTGCGGTACTCATGCATAACCCAATTGGTCCTCTTCCCCCTGGGAGCGCGTCCGGCGTAGAAAACGAGAGTCTTCTTCATCCCAATCAAGTTACTCCCTGACTTAATCCTCCGATCTTTCCCCGTCGCCTTCCAGTACCCAGCCTCAGTAGCTCTGTTAAGCCTACTCCCATTCGGATACTTCCGGTCCAGTGGACAGAAAAAGAACCACTCCGGATCCTGCGTCTTAATCGCCGACAAGTCCGGCAAATCCCACGGCTCCCTCTTACACACATCGATCTCCCGAATAACCCTCACCTGATTATCATTCCCATTGATCTTCAACCGTAAATAGTAATCAATCAATTCCTCATCCGTCGGCCGGAATCGGAATCCCAACGGCAATGAATCCAGTGACAGAACCGCCATCCAACAGAAAGCAGAGGAAGCAGAGAGAAAGAGAGAAGAAAAGCGAAGGAGAAAAAGATATTGTTTTCAGAGAAACCCTAAAAATGAAATTCGGAAAGATTCAAAGGGGGGATGGCCCCATGAATCAAAAGGTGTAGAAAAAGAAAAAGTGAGGTATTTTTCAAGAAGTAGGAATTTGAGAAAAAAGAGAAAATACGAGGAACAGGAAATATCACCGCGTTTTTATTTTCGAGTATATTCCTTGTAGAATTTCCTCTTTTTTTTTTTTCAGCTCGCCATTTTAACGACCGGAGCTAAGTTAGACACAGTAGGAAGAGGCTTGACGAGGAAGTTAAAGTGAGGATGGGTCGGATGATGAATGAGATATTGACACGTAGGGACAGAGGTTCTAGAAGGGTGGGAGTGGGGCTCACTTGTCTTACGTGGCGGGAAGAAGGAAGTTGGGATGCGAACCAAGCTGGGAGCTTCCTGGGTGCTTTCAGTTGGTCTGTATTGGGTTAATTTAATTAGAAGGCCATTTGTCTATTGAGTTTATAGCATTCAGTCACCGACCTTTAAAAAATTAAAAGGTGATACTTAGGTTACTATTTTTTTCTTTCTTTCGAACATGGAGAATTTGAAAGGAAAAACAATTATAATGTCAATTGCTCAAGATGAACATAAGATTATGGACTTAAAGGTCACTAGGCTCTTATTTTGGGATATGAAATATTGGATTATAAGGACTAACTAAGGTTTCTAAAAGTTCATTTTTAATTAAAAAATTTTAATGGAGTGAGTCTTGTTATTGCCAGCATATATTTTGGTTAATGTTAATAAATTCAATGACTTAAAATGGAATATAATTAATATCTATGAGATTTAGGTTACTATTAGTGCTTCTAAAAGGGTGAAGTAGGGTCGACTAGCGTTATATGAGAAGAAAAGGGAACTTGGGGCTAATTTGATTATAAACTTCTCAAAGGTTTATGTTTTTTGAACAAGGTTTATGGTTTTTCAACAATGTGTTAAAAAAAAAAGAAAGGTTATCAGTCTTTTGAGTTTATAACCTTTGAGTCATAGTGGGCTACATTTATGTTAATTAATAGTGCATTTAGGTTACTATCATAAATTCAATGATTTAAATTAAATATATGTACTTTACCTTGTTAAAAGCTTCAAGAAAAGTAAGGTTTTGCCTTCTGTGGCAATTAGGTAGTATCTTAGGGTCTTAAAAGTTAACTTATGTATATTCGATTAAGTTTAGTTTTACAATTTAGACATTAATTAAAATTAAATTATTTATATCCAAATAAAAAGATTTATTAGAAATTATCATCTCATGACCTTTCAGAAAATCAAATCCTAATCAATAAAATAAGAATGCATTTATCTTTTAGAGCATCTTATTGTTTTAGCCTTGAAATGCCACAAATGTCTGGCCATTCCCATTTCCAAGGAAAATATAGCATCTCAAAATGTTTTTGGGTGTGTAAGATAGAAAGGTTAAAAATGCCTTCATGCATTAGATCCAAAAAACCTTTCAAGAACAACTGTTCTTGGGCAGTTCCAATTTCTACTTGGCAACAGTTTTCTAATAGAAACTAAATAGGTCATTGGTGTTCTACACTTACTAATGAACTTTTAGTGACTTAAATGTTAGATGTTAAAGGTGAATGGAAAAATTATAGAAACTCGAAGATTAGTGGTCCCATATAAACGATTTTTCCTTTTACCTTTTCTTTTTTTTTTTTTCGGTTTTCCTGAAGGAAAATTTTATACTATAAAAATGATTTTGACTTGAGTAACTTATTTTCCCACAATTAATTTGTGTGGCCCATTTTGCTTTGGTTTTGTCTGTGAGGATAAGTTTTTCAGTGAGAATTTTTTAATTAATAAATTAATTAAAAAAAATTTTATCTCTCTCCTTCCCTCCACCCATCAAACCAAATGTAGTTTATAAGCTAATTTACACTTAAACAATTTGTTTCCTACAGTTTGAAATTTTCTATGAGAAAACTTGATTTTAGTCTTCTAGAGTTATAAGCAAAATTTTTAAAAAAATTAATATACTAGTTTTTCTAAACAGAAGTTAGTTTTTGTTTGGCAATATTTCTTAGTTGCTTTTATTTTTATTTTTTTGTCTTATTATTATTTAAAAAATATATAAAATACTAATTAAAATATATTACATATATTTTACATATTCTTATGATATTTAAAACTTAAAAAACTGAAAAACCTGCATTTATAGTTATAAGATGGTACTCTTAAACTAAACCTTAATATACTAGTTTTCCTAAACATACTGTAAGTCACCTAAAAAACTAAATACTCCAATAAATTTTTAAATCATAAAGAAATAATTTTTAAACTAATTTGCTTAATATCATCATACATACTTCTACTTTTTCTTCCCATGCTTTTTACTTTCTCTAATTCAAAACATAAGTTATTTAATTTTGTGTACCTAATTCCAGCTATGTTATGTTTTTATATATCCTATAAATATGAATGACAATTAATTTTTTTTAATAAAATAAAAGTACCCAACAAAATGTACAAGGCCAAGCCCCAATTATCATAAGTTTAGCGTTCTTGTCCTATAAGGGCATGTTTCTTGCAGGACTTCTATAATATCTTCCCTTAATGATAAAGTGTATATATATATATACCTTAAACCGTTCACTTCTTCAAATTTTTTAAGGCGGTATGTACCTTGTAGGGTTTTTTATAATTTCTCCCCGTAAAAGCAGAAAATAGAGAAATATCATTTTTTAGCTTTACAGTAAAAATATTTAAATATTTATACTGAATAAGATTGATTAAAATTATTTTATTACTTTCATAATTTAAAGTGCACAATTTTTGCATAGCTTAAACTAAAAAAACACAATTTTCCAAAAAAGTATATCTTCAATTCTTTAAATTTTAACCGAACTCCAGTTAGAGCGGCAAGTTTCTTGTAAAAATTTCTATAATCTCTTCCGTTATTTAATGACATAAATATATCTTAAATTCATTAAATATTAACCAACCTAAATTAAACCAGCATGTTTCTTGTAAGGATTTCTATAATATATATATATACATATATATTTTTTTTTGGTACATAGGATTTCTATAATATGACAAAAGGTTGTATTCATCTTATCTTTTAAAAATAAAAAAAAATATTTTAAAATTATATTATTTTAATAAATTTTTATTAAAAAATTAAAATACTTTATTTTAGTAGTTTAAATTAAATTGTTTTTCGTTTTCTAATAATACTTAATTAAAATGATATAATTTTAAAATAAAATTTTCCTTAATTTTTAAAATATAAGGTGAATAAATACTAACCACATAATAAAAAAAAAAAAGATTTCTATGATATGACAAAAAAAAAAACTATATAACCATTCAATTCTTTAACTTTTAACCGAACCAAATTAAAATTACTGTAATTTCTTTGGCTTATCTTCTTTTTTCTTCTTTAACATCCTTTCTTTTCTTATGTGTGAACGTGGTGAGGTGTAATTAAAAAGTTAGAGCTCCAAGCACAAAGAAAAAGATATTGATAAAGATTCTTCGTACAATGCCTTTACAAAAGAACCAACCATTATGTCCAACCCCTCAACTTGCTTTCCCACTCTAACAAAGTCTAAAAAAGTCCAATTTATTCAACAAAGAAAGGGGAGCTCAATTTAACAAACATATCAATATGTAAAGGCCTCCACTCTCCCATTAACAACATTTTTTTACAACTTTTTTGAGGCATTATAGAGATGACGGATTAGGCAAATGAATTGAGGAAAAGGTCATCTTCCACAATTGTCTCAACTCGTTATTATCTACTTGATTTTAATGAGAAAAAGGCTCATTAATCACCATTGTCTTTAATTTCTGCAATGCTCTTCCTTTTTAGTTTTGCTTGGGTCAAAAATATTCCTTGGGTTCCCATTGTTGTTTCCAACAAAAAAGACATCCACTTTCATTAACATATGACTTCGCTTTTGGGTTTCCCGTGGTTGTTTCCAACTAGAATAATTGGAGCATTAAGTTTTCTTTTAAAAGTAAAAGTTCAAACATTTTCGAAAACGTCCTAATGGCTTTTCAACCTCAATGATACATTGAGATTTTGGAGATTTTCGAGATACTGGCTAGTCATCATCTAACATTTTTATATTTTTCTTTTCTTAGGCTCGGCCTTTGCATATTTAAAGATTAATTGTTTTTCAGACAATTTTAAGTATAAATCTTTTAAGTTAACACAATATATTTAAAAATTCTTATAGGAATTCATTCTAAAATTTTAATTTTAATTTTAATTTATAAAATAATATTTATTTATTAATAAATTTAATCCTGGAGAGTCCTAACATTTCTAGATAGGACCTTATTTTGGCATTGTAGAAGACTAATCTCCTCATAATTGGTATTAGTATCCTTAGAAATTTCAATCTAGGATCTGACATGGTAAGACTACAGACTCTCGTGAGTAGTGGCCGTTACAGTTAAACATTATTGAGTATATATGCAAGGTTCTCCCTTGCATTCTCGTGAAAAGAGTTTTACTGATCTAGCATTACCTAATTTATTCATGGCATAGAAAATCTGCTCCATGATTCCAGTGTTACATCCATCCTGTAAGTCCATGTACAATAAAAGCACTGGTTCTTTGTGCCTGACTACATGTAACTAAAAAGTATAAAAATTGCAGCTTTTTTTTCTTCTCTTTCATTTCTTTGCTTTTTAAGGGCAAAACAGAGCAGTTATTCCAACAGCATATATAAGTGGACACTGCGAGGGCCCTTGATGGATAGGCTCAATTTCTATGATTGTTGAGTTCGTTGGGGGCAGGATGCAACAACCTCCTCCTAATAGCATGGTTTTGAAGTAACAGAAACCCTTGATCGTGTTTAAGATCAGGCAATGAATTCAAGGCCCAAAGAACTCTAACGCTGCTTTCGGCTTGATGGGATAGGCTCAATTTCCATGGTTGTTGAGTTTGCTGGGGGCAGTATGTAACCTCCTGCCTGATGGCATGGTTTTGAAGTCACAGGAACCCTTGATCATGTTTTATTCAGGAAATGAATTCAAGGCTTTCCCCAAAGAACTCTGGCGTTCTTTGCAGCTAAGATTTATTAGGGTGCTGACTGAGAACATGTCATTCTTATTGATGAGAACACCACGGTGAGTCGTGCGTGCATGATCTGAGAGAGAATAATTTTCAGGCCACCTTTCTTTCTTCACTTCAGAAGGGAACAAAACTACATTTTCCACACTAAAACCAAGAGTTTACCCTTGAGCATCTTCCACAAACCCTATCATGAACTCGATCAAAACAGAACAAAAGATTAGCAATCATGATAGTCAGCATAATTCCTTTTTATTCATGTATGATTATGGTAATAATCTATCCAATGCAAAACACTATATATTTTTTATTTTTTTTCACAATTTAAAATTTTATAATTGTACTGTGCCATTTGCAAAAGAAAATCATCAAAATGTTCTTCGACCCTCATTTTTCAAATCTAAGGGACTTATGATGCCTTTGGGCCAGCGTTCTTCTGTCCTGTTTGTATGTTCTTCAGCCGGGTAAGTTTCTTTTTGTCTTCACATGGCTGTAAGATGTTTTCAAGCGGTCGGCGGATGGAAATCTTGTGTTTTTATATGGAATTTTTGCATTAGTGTAATTTATTAAAATATATTTAATAAAATAATATAAAAAATAATTTTATTAATGTTTTTAATATATAATTTATCTTATAAATTATTCTTTATTTTTATATCATTAAAATTTTATTTTTTTTGAACATGTATTAAAATTTTATTTATTGACAAAGAAAGGTTAAATGCCAATGGTTCTAAACATTTTTAATTTTAACTTATTTTAAATTATTTTACACACTTTTTCATCCATTAACAGTAAAAACTATACTCTTTTTTTATCTTTTTGCTCTATCTCATGGTTAATTCCTTCTTTCTTTTTCTTTTTTTTTTTTTAATTTTACGATTGCATGACACATTGCCAAAGATATCGAATATTTTTTATTATTAAATTTCACATGACATATTTTGATTAGAGGACAAAATTTTTTAATTATCACAAATTAACATCAATGGGATTCATATAAATTAAATATTTTAATTATTTAATAAATAAAAAGCCTGAAAATTACATAAATACCCCCAACTTCATCTTCTTTTCCCCGGACCTCCTCTCAGCGCCGTGTTATCTCCTTCAACTCTAATGCCGTCTTCCATTCTTCTGGACCCTTGCTCTCTTCCCCATTCCTCTCTAGGGCTTGATTGGGTTCAGTGGAACCCAAATCACCCATGGCTTCAGATCATCCAAAAAATAGAAGCAAATTTAATAATAAAAAAAAAATTCAGAGTTCTTTTCTTCTTCACAAAAGTCGTCTTTAGAACTGGCAGTTCAACCACTTCTAGTTGATTTTCGTTGCAAATTTCTTGGTTTTCTTTGATTATTCCAGCAACGGTGACATCAAAAACAAAGATTCAATCTCAATTCATGAACTCAGTCACCATAGCAAATCTACGGAACTCAAATTATAATCAACAACACCAACCAAAATAATCAAACAACGAAAGATATTACAAGCTTAAGAAATTTGTAAACAAAATCCATCTTATTTGAAAGTAAATAGGCAATCTCTAAATTTCTGAAAAAAAAAAAAGGGTCAATCTTGAATTAGTTCTGGATTCCTTCGAATCTTAGATCTGTAGACCACGTCAAAGGGGAAGAGGAAGGGGGAAAGAGAGGGAGAACCAAAAAAGGACCCAGAAATCTAAGTTTCTCTTCGAACTCAGATCCTATGCTGAAGGGAATAAAGGGAGGACTGTGAAGAAGATACCGGAGATGGGGGCTCCAGCAAATAAGGGAAGGAAGAAGGGAAAAGGGGAGGCAGAAGAGGAGAGGACCAAAAAATGGCATCCTTATTTCTTCCTCATACAATTTTGTTTTTTCACGGTTAATATATTTTTTTAATTTTTATTTTAAATCAACACTTTTTATAATTTAAAATTTATAAAAAAAAAACTGAATTATTAATAAAATTAAAATATAAATAAAAGATTTGATAATTAGTTTTTAAATTTTTAATAAATTTTAAATTATAAAAAATAATAATTAAAAATAAAAATTATAAAAAAATATTAATTATAAAAAAATAATATATAAAATACAAATAAAAGATTTAATAGAAAAATATCACTCTTCAATACCATAACACTTTGATATATTTAAAAAATAAAACTTTAAATGTTAGATTTTTTATAAGATTATTTAAATTATCTTAATTATTTCTTTTACATATTAATTTATTAATATAATTTATTTTTTTATTATTACTCCAAATATTTTATACATTAATACGCTTTATTTTTTATAATTTTCTTAATTTTAAATGTTAAATTTTAAATTAAATTTTATTTTTACATAAGAACATTTTGATGTGAAATTTTCACATCATTAAAAGAAATAAAGAAAATGCTTACAAGAGTTAAGAGACCAATATTGTCATCGGGAAAATGGTTTGGGATTGCACGCCAATATTGGGGAAAATTAAAAAATAAATAAATAAATACATTAGAGTTATTTTATTTTATAATTTGAATTATATTAAAAATAAACAAATATTGCTTAGTTGAGTGATAATTTTTTTTTTTTGCTAAAAACAAAAAATCAATGAGATAAGTAACAAGAGAGGATTGTTTTTTATTGTATAATTAAAATAAAAAATAAAAAAATATTATTTAATAAAAAATAACTTTAAATATTAAAAACTTCATTTTCTATTTAATATTTAAAATTATATAATTTTATATTGTTCGAATTTTGCACAACAGTATAAAAAAAGTTAATAACTGTTCCAACTATAACAGGGCGTTGGTTGGCGCCATTTGAAATGGTCAGAGGAAGATTTGCCCGCAGAAGCTCATTTTGACAATGCAGCAGCTTTTTCCTCATCACCAAGAAATATGTCATTAACATCAGAGCCATTTACAATTCCACCTATATTAACCGATTTCCTAATTTGCATTTCTCAGCCTCAAAAATTGTCCTCAAATCTGAAAGCATAATCTTATAAAGGGCTCACACCTTTTCCTCCATCTTCTCCATAGCCTCGCTCAATCGTCCCAACAACTTCTTGAGGAATAATTATAATGGGAGGCTGCGCGAGCAAACCCAAGGATTCAGAGTTCCGCTCTGAGTACCGCCCTCCACGTGAGGTTCCTCCACCTCCCGCGCCCGAGATGGCTGAGCCAGAGAACAAGCCCACCACTCAGGTACACTTCATAGCTGAAACTAAATAAATTGAATAAAATTTCTTTTAACATGAATTTGTTGCATGGCCTGTCCTGTTTATTTCACCATTCAATTAATGAGCCTCTAAATGTTAGCCGAGTCCCCATGCGCTTGATGGCAACAAAAAACAATCATTCTTATTAAAATGATTTTATTATTTTGTTAGAATATGCTTCAACTTTCGCCTTTTTTTCATAATATGAAGAATCCTCATTGATGAACTAATACTATTAGAAAATAAGGTTTAATCCACATAAATTTTTGTTGATTATAAGAGAAATTTTATTGATTATAAGGGAAATTTTATCGATTATAGATATAATCAACAGTCAAATTTGTTGAATTAATAAGAGTTGAAAAAAAGTATAATCGACATTAATGTTTTCCAATCAATTATACTAGTATAATCGATAGAAAAAGCTATCGATTATATTTGTTCCAGTAATAAAAAAAATTAGAATTAAAGAAATGTAGAATTAAATTTTTAATTTTGTAATTAGTGATTAAATTATAAAGTCTTTAAACAAAATTCAATGATAAAATCAATCAAGTGCAACAACAATATATATAAAATAATTTTGAGAATTATTGAAAAACAAGAATAATATTCAAATATTATGAGAATTAATGGACAAATAAGATAAATGACAAGTAATTTGCTTATAATAAAATAAAAATATCCATAAAAGGAAAAAGAAAAAGCATTGTTATATATTATAAGATTTTATTTAAGTAAAAGGAAATAAAAAATATAAATCAAAATGTGAATTTACTTCATAAAATGATTTTGAGCTTAATATTCTACAAAAATTAAAAAAAAATTATTACTAGATTAAATAAAAATAATTGGATGATAAATGAAAATAACAAAAAATAAAATAAAATAAAATAAAAACCTTAAGATGAAAGAATGAAAGAAAATGAAGGAAAAGTAGAAGGATGGCAACCAAAAATGAAAATAGAAATGGTAGAAGGAATGATGAAAGAAAAGTGGAAACAAGACGGAAAGATGAAGACACACAATGCAAGAAAGGTAGAACAAAATGGAGAAGATGAAAGAAGTAAGAAAAACAAAAATGAAAGGGAGAAGAAGAAGAAGAAGAAGAAGAAAAAACAAAGGGAGAAGGAAAACAAGGTGAAACATTAGTGGGAAAGGAAGGAGGAGGGGTGAGGTAGGAGAAGATGAGAAGATGAGAAGATATTTACTGATTATGTTTCTGAATCCATATATATAGACAAAATATATTCGACAGAAATTCTGTCGATTAAGTTTTAAATTGATTGTCAATTATACTTATATAATAGACAAAATTAGTTGTCGATTATACCTATATAATCGATAGAATTAGTTGTCAATTATATTAAAATTTTATAAATATATATGTTAATATTTAATATTTCACTAGTAACATTTATAAATATTATATATCTCATAACTAATAAATTTAATAATAAAAATTTAATACTATCTAATGTGAGATTATTTTTAGTTAATATTATGCATATATCTATTTTGATTAAATTATCAATTCTAACACTACATGTTTATAGTTAATTTTGTTGTAATACATACACAAAATATATATGATATTAATTAAAAACAATCCCACATTTGATAGTATTGAATTTTTATTATCAGATTTATGATTTATAAGATATGTAATATTTATAGATACTACTAGTGGAATGTTAAAAATTAATGTTTATATCTATAAAATGTTGACATAATCAACAACCACTATTGACTGTCGATTATACTTATAATTGACTGTCGATTATACTTATAATTGACAGAATTAGCTATCGATTATACCCATATAATCAATACATTAACATAATCGACATAATTTTTGTCAATTATATGAGTATAATCGACAGTTTTTTAACTGTTGATTATATTTTGGTCGATTAAATGATATTTTCTAGTAGTAAACAATAATTTTTAAAAACTCCAAGACCAAATATGCTTTTAATTTCCAAAATAATCAGAGATGAGATTTTTTTTCTCTATTTCCCTAATTTTGTTTTTTTGTTGTTAATGTGCAGGAGAAGATTGAGAATGAAGGTGAGCAAGAGAGAGACAGACAGGTTGAAGAACCATTGGTAGATCTTTCTAAACCAAAAAATGAGGCTCCAATTTTATCGTTCTCAGCAGCTCCAGCTGCTACTGCTACCGAGGTAGTCGTGGCCAAATTGAAGGAGGAGGAGATTGAAGAGCCGAGGAATGAGGCGACAGATGACAAATTATCCATGAAGGAAGATAAAAATGATATCGCGCCTCTTGTCCAATTGATGTAAAACTTCTTTGCCGTAACATGCCATATGCATTGGCATCATTTGATTGATTAATTTAATGTCTCCAGTTGCTAGGTCTCTTTGTAACATTAAGTGCAACAATTGAACATACCATTCTTTAGTAGTAAACTTGATTTATTGATTTATTTATTTGTCTGTTTTGATAAATAAATTGTTGTTTTCCTTTAAAAACAAGTTTATCTATTTCTCCATGGAGCGCCTGAAATTGTTGCTTCTTAAGTTCAAAATGTCATAGGCTGCTTTCACTTGGTCAATGGTTGAGGCAATACATCTTTCACAACTCATAATTTCTTCCACTAGATACCAATTAACAAGCTAATAACTAATAAGGAGATGGACCACACGTACATAAGAAAAATCATAAATTTAAAGTGTGTTTAACTAGTAAAAACTCAAAAAATTAATCAAACTTTAAAATAACTGAAGGGGAATTTAAGAAAAGGAAGACTATACTTGTATAGTTTATACAAGTTAGAAAGATCACCAAAAGTTTAAGAGTTTCAAGAATCTTTTAAGTATGATAAGCTAAAAGGTGATATGCATAGCTGGTCTATAAAGGTGGAAAATTTGTTTATCTTGACTGTTTAGCAAGCAAGAGAATCATGCCTAAATACTAAAGAATTATACCGAAGTGAAAAATTTTTGGAGATTCTGAGTACTAGAGAATTATATTTGATGTGGACAACTTACATTGTATAGAATTGAATTTAGTACTACATGGGAAGAGAACATTCTACAGAAAGCATTGAACTTTGATTTTCTTTGAATGGATTGAAGGATGGTGCAGTATCAATGTATACAAAACAAGTTCAAAAGGATGCACTTCCAATTATCTAAAAGCTATAGAATCCATTGTGGGAGGAAGCAAATTCAATAATAGTAAAGAAACTTAATCTTCATAGTAATTAACGGTGGTTCATATCAAAAATTTATCTCGACTCAATATTTTGTTTTTGATTTTAGTTATTGTATCAAAGATTGTATAGACTTTCCTTTTGTGGTAGGGCTACATGCAGGACAATCTGTGTATATATACTTGGCTCTACATGTGAATAAAATATCAATTCTAATTCTATTTTCTTGCATCCTTCATTGGTATCAAAGCGTAGCAAACTCTAGCGAGTTCCTTTCCTCCTCATTCTTCATGGCCTTTGGTGACAGTACCCCACTCTCCATTGCCTCCACACTCAACAGCAACAGCAACACCAATGCCAATCAACCTTAGAATCCCGTGTCCTTTCATGCTGTTGCTTTTCCTTGGAAACTTACCCCAATAACTTACCTTTCATGGAGAGCTCAATTCACCTTTCTCCTTGTCGATTATAAGTTGATTGGCTTCCTCGAGGTCCTTCCCACACCTTGTTGCTGCAAATCCAAATCAAAACTTTTGGATTTACCAAGACTAGCTACTCCGTCATGCCCTCTTAACCTTTGTCTTAGAAAACATCACTCTTTATATTGCTCAGGTGGCATTAGTCTAACAAGCTTGGGAAACACTTGCGAACCTATATGCTAATAGGTCTCGAGCTTATGTCAGCACCCTCAAGGAACAGTTGCAAAACATGCGCAAATCAGTCACTGAATATCTCTGCTTTCTTAAGGACGTAGTTGACAAACTAGGTATGGTTGATCTATCCTTATTTGATGATGATATAATAGTTTATGTTTTGAATGGTCTAGGCCCAAAATTTCGAGAGATTGTTGCTTCTTTCTACACTAGAGATACCTTCCTATCTTTTGATGACCTCCATGATCGATTGGTAACCCATGAAGAAAGTCTTCGATGAGAGGAAACCAAGATAGACTAAGCCCCAATCACTACTCATCTTGTTGTAGTTTCAAATGGTTTTGTGGTTGGACCCTCCTCCTCTTCACATCCAATGATGGCTGAATTACTCTCAACTCCTCTAACCATTCGTCCTGGATTTCAACAGTTCTTTTCACCAAACTACAACACTTAGGGATGCCAGTTTCAAAATAAAAACTCATTAGGTAACCGGAGGCTTGGGTTAGCTTTTAGGCTAAATGACCACTCGGCTTCACAAGCCTACCAATATGTCCTAACTTGGGCCACATTGCTTGCGATTGCCTTTCTGCGTTCAACAAAAAAACACCTCTAGCAGCAAACTTTGCCTCATCTTTCACAGGGCGTTCTAATGATTGGCTCTTAGACTCTCGTGCAATACACCACGTGACTACTAACCTTGCAAATCTTGCATTACACTCTAAATATCATGGCCTGGATGAGCTACAAATTGGAGATGAAACAGGTTTGAAAATCACACATGTGGGTTATACCACAATTCCTACTTCTACTTCTTCCATTCCTTTACAAAATATTTTGAGTCCCAACATTTAAAAATTTGATCTCTGTTTCTCAGTTATGCAAGACTACTAATGCTTACATTGAATTTCACCTTGATTTCTTTTTGGTGAAGGATCGGATAACGTGGGCGACAATGTTGCATGGTCCAAACGTCCATGGGATGTATCAACTTCCAAGAAAAATTAAACCTCTAGTATTGGTTGGTGAATGTGTTTCATTGGCGAATTGACATGCACACTTAACTCATCGTTCAGCGAAGACCATTAAAACTATTATTAATGTCTCTCAATTGCCTATTTCTAATAAAATGGACTTCTCCTTTTGTGATTCATGTTCTTGTTCAAAAAGTCATCAATTGTCATTTTCTGATTCTTTTATTATAAGTCAATCTCCATTGGAACACATTTACTCTGATTTGTAAGCCCTACTCTAATCACTTCAATTGATGGCTTTACTTATTTTGTTTTATTTATTGATTTTTTTAGTCACTATACTTGGGTTTTTCCAATTAAATGCAAAACAGATTTCCCATACTTTTTCCTAAATCCAAGTCACTTGTTGAAACTCAATTTGGAAAATTCATTAAAAACTTTCACTCTAATGGTGGGGTAAATATATTTCTCTTTGTGATTTTCTTGCAAAAAATGGTATTTCTCACTTTATCACTCCTCCATATACTCCCTAATTAAATGGAATAAGTGAGGTAGAAATCGTTATATTGTTGAAACAGGTCTTATTACATTAATGCACAATGCATCCTTACTTTCCAAATTCTAGTCTTATGCTTTTCAAACTATTGTGTACCTAATAAATAGGTTCCTTACAACATTTTTCCTATAAATCTCCACAAAAATTATTTAAGTCTAAGCCAAATTATTTAAAGTTAAGTATTTTTGGGTGTATTTGTTACCCATGGCTTCAACTATACAATAATAATAAGTTCCAGTATCACTCTTGTCCATGTATATTTTTGGGATACTTTGTTGAAATTTTGGAATGCAAATGCTTTGACTTGCACTCTAAAAAATTTTTTTATTCCCATCATGTTATCTTTCATGAATCTCACTTTCCATTTAAAAATTTTGATCTTTGGATTTCTTGTCCAAGTCCAATTCTTCCTTACCAAAACCAAAATTTCATCATCAAGATTTCATCGTTGACCTTGCGCAACTTGCCGTGCAAATTCAGTACTTCGACACCGATGCCGCCCATATGTTGCATGCCCAACATTGTCTCCTCATGTACCGACCTGTCCCCAAGCTTCTTTTATGCTTATTGCTACTCCAACCCAAGCCCAAGATGACCCACCTACCTCACGACCTACTTAACCATCCCTTCCTTGCCCTAGTTTGCTCCATATCTCTCTATTATCTAGCCGTCAGTCTAAATTTCACTCTCTTTCTTCATCGACCATCACATCTCCCCACTCCTCTAGCTGTATTTGATCTCTTTCCCCATAACCTAATTCCATACCATCCTCATCGCCATAGCTAATTTGGACCCATTCCATTATAACTCACTCCTAAAATAACATTTTTAAGCCAAAGAAACTCTATCATGTTTCCAAATCTCCCATACTTGTTAAACCCACATGTGTGTCTCGAGCCTTAGAGGATCAAAACTGGCAATGGGCTATGTCTGATGAGTTCAATGCCTTGGTTTGGCAAGGAACATGAGAATTGGTATCTTCTCATCCTAATCAACATGTTTTTGGCTACAAATGGATTTTCTAATTGAAGAGAACCAAGGATGGTGAAATTGAGCATTATAAGGTGTGTTTAGTAGCCAAGGGATTTCATCAATGACCATGTTCTGATTATTTTAATACATTTAGTCTTATTATTAAACCTATTACTATTCAAGTAGTGTTGTTTATTATAGTGAGTAAAAGGTGGGGCATTTAGCAACTAGATGTGAATAATGCTTTTCTTCATGGCAAGCTTAATGAAGAATTATTTATGCAGCAATCACTAGGCTTTAATGATTAGAATTTTCCTACTCATGTGTGTTGACTCAAAAAATCTATCTATGGGGCTTAAACAAGCCTCGCGAGTGTGGTTTTGAGCACTCAAGGAATTTTTACTCTCCCATAGCTTCTTCAATGCTAAATTTGATTCTTCCCTCTCTATATATCACAAGGGGTCCATTTGGATTTATTTTCTTTTCTTGTGTATGTGGATGACATTATTATCACTAGCAATGATCCCCACCTCATCCATTCTATCATCCAAGCACTCAATCATCAATTTTCACTCAAGGAGCCTAGTTGCCTTCATTTTTTTCTCAGTGTATAGAGGCTGTCTTTACTAATCATGGCTTGTTTCTTTCCCAGTGTTGGCATATTCAAGATCTTTTACATAAGACTAGCATGTCGGCTGCCAAATTTGTCTCCACACCACTTGTTGCTTCCACCACTCTACTCCTTTCCAATGGCACCCTTCTCTCTAATGGCTTGGAGTACAAAAGCATCATTGGTTCTCTCCAATATCTTGTACTCACTCACCCAAATCTTTCTTTTGCCGTCAATCGTCTCTCTTAGTTCATGCATAAGCCCATTGATGTCCATTGGCTGGCAATTAAGCGTGTTTTACGCTACTGGAATGGCACCATTAATCATGGTCTTCTTCGGCCACAACAGTTTCTTTTTCTCTATGCCTTCTCAGATGCTGACTAGGCTGACGATTAAGAGACTTGCATCTCCACTACTTGTTACATAGTCTTTCTTGGCAATAATCCCATTTCCTAGAGAGCTACAAAATAGAGGGTAGTAGCTTGGAGCTCTACAGAGGCAGAGTATTGTGCGTTAGTAGAGTCTACTTCAAAGGTTGTTTGGGTTTGC